TCGGACCGTCTGTAAGCGAAATATTAATGCTAAATTACGGCAGACGGCTAGAGCGTTCGCGTAAGGAGAAGGCGGTGTTAGGTATTTTGTGCAAAAAAAAACACATTATTACCGGAAAAAAGCTGCTTAGAGTACTTCATCAATTGTATCTGCCTTATTTCGCTTATGTAAAACGTTTAGTGCTAACTGTCATAAACTCCAACTCGAGACAATAATTATAAGCCGTTTGAACGGTATTTTGTAGGCAAGTCTATGGCAAGGTGCAATAACTATCTAACAGCGTCAGCGCTAGCCATCATTGACCCACGATAGCGAGCGCCTAACAATGGGGTTCTTCCACTGTCACCAGCCAATTGAAATGTTTTCTTCTTTTCAGAAAAGCGTCTTAAATCAAACACAACGAGATCAACACATTTCGTCTATTCACTCTTTCGTATTGATTTAGGTAACCAACCTTTCCATTGCAACACCCCCTTTTCTATTTTGTACTTCATGACTATGGTGAGGGTTTTGGATCGAATTCGTTGCTACTGCTATTTACGTCTTTACTCATTGGCTTTATAGCGGACGCACGACATGTAGACACGTTCCCCGTTCGGGGAATAGCAAACGCTTGAATAAGCAGGTAGAGGGATCAAGTAAATGATGTTCTGTTCAGTGTAGCTCGACATCGGCCTTCGTTCGGCCGTTTATCAACGACAGTAAAATAGATCAGCCCGTTTACCTTGAGCAGCAGTAGAAAATGTTTCTGCTGTCGTACAAGTGGTATAATAACGACACCAGCAGTGACTTCATTTCGGCGATGCACATAAATATATACTAGATTCAGAACGAGGCTGAGATACAGCAGACATTTAGTTGTCTATTAGACAGTGGTTCTAATACATTCAAGAAGAGGTCCTAGGTTTTTAGGTTTCATACTAGTGTAACTGAAGTGCTTTTAGATCAATTCAACCAGCTCTAATCGACCTTCTTCTGATACCAGTGATACCAAAAGATACATCGAACCTCGCTTTAGTTATTTAACATTCAAACCTATACATGCATTCACTTCCTATGTATATGCTCGAATATAATTGTGCTGTGAGATTCTAAGTACAATGAAGATACTCGTCAACTACTTCGTCATTAAATTCGGTGCTTGGACTCCGTTACTTCCATTGAACTTAATGTAATTTGCATTATGCCTTCGTGGGTGGAAACAATAAAAACTGATTTTTAGGTTCATTCTCTCGGTCTATTTCAGCCAGGGTTACTGTAACACAACTCTATGTTTAGGGACTTTTTTGTTTTTTTCGAACAACAAAGTAGTAGAAGATAGTTCTAGCCACAAAACACGGTCTCTTTGGGTTTTAGAGTTACCTTTGTTTGACAATAAAGGAGCTGAAATCAAGAAAAAATGGCTTAGAAGGAATAAAATAAATGCGAATAAAGATGAAACTGAATTTCCAAAAATTACGTATGAAATTCATACGGAGTAAGAGTTGGTGCACTACAATAGGTTTGTGAGATAATGAGGTTTTATGTCGCACTGAAATGCCGATCTTAATAACACTGCATTATGGCGGTTGCATGGAAGCACAGATGTTCCACTAGTCTGTTCTGACTTGAAATCTTCCATATTTTTTCACGTTTTGAGACACAGTTTCCTTTTGCCGATGGAAAATTATAAGTTCAGCCGGTCAAAGCGAAAATTCAGAAAGATATACACGCCCCTCTTTTGATATATATATACAACATGCCGAACGATATCTTGCCTAGGGTCCAGTAGAGGCAGGCACATCGGCACGAACGAAAATATAAACACAGATAAAGAGAAGACATTAAATCCAGGTTTACCTGTTTCAACAAAAGCAGAGGCACCGCTTTCCGTTTGTTCGATGAGCCATCAAAAACGTCTCGCAGTATCGTTTGTAACGTAGTTGGATCGGGTCATCGCCGCTTCGACTGTTGAGTAGAGTATCTATTCGACGAGGATGGAATTTTCTAACAAAATTCTTAGAACGAATTCTTAACGAATTCCTAGAACGAAGAATAACGCTAAAAAAGTGTAGAAGAACCTGATCTTGAAGGAAATATTTGATGAGGCGGCAATTTGTAAAATCAGTTAGATTAATTATACTTATTAACGTACTTCTTATAATTTTCCCTAATAAATAAAATAGAGGTGTATTTAATCAACGTCACATTCGCAAACGGCTCGAGGCATCTGAGGTAAAGCATTTCGCCTACATCCGCCACTATGCGAAACAGCTTTTCGTTCTGTAATCACCAAAATACCTTACTACGATAGCAACCAGCACACAATATTGTTTTTCTGTTTGATGTAGGCAATGTTCACGTAAACCTCCAAGACCTTATGCTCAATGTCTTGGAAATGGTACCACGTCCGCTGTACTGTTGCTTGTCGTTGCCCGTTTCGAAAGTTGCGCACCCAAGTAGATACTCATTGTACGAAAAATAACAGCTTTTTTTGGTGAGTCTGTCATTTCGGGCAGGGTTAGTGTTAACGCTACATAGTCGAGTTGGAAAGACGAGCCAATTTTCACGATGGCGTTGATGCGCGAGGCAGCAGTTCAACTACGCAGTGTCCGTTCGGATATAGGCATGAAAACGGGCTGTATATGTGTTAACCCGGAGCCCTTCGAGGCTTCAACAAGAGCCTTGTTTTTATTTGTGCAGCACTTGCACTTGGGCGATCTTGCTTGCCGCCAGACCTCCTTTATCCGCTGAGAACCGTCTACCCGTTAGAATGGCATGAGTCGCGTTCCTTGTGCACACAACTGAGGTGGAAGTCGAGAGCCATATAGAAGCAACCGACGACCACTGCAATCTACAGTAGGAGACCGGGAAAGCAAGATGCAGACGGCCTATTTCTTCTAGGTTTTCGGCCGCAGACCAGCCCGTTCAGTGGATAATAACTGCCGTAGTATCGTCTATCAGAGATAATGATGCGATGAACCTCTTTTTACGTTCGCCTTCGTTTTCGCTCTCTTTAATAATCTACACTCTGACACGCATCTACCTTTTTCTTGGTACTAAAAATACATCGTACTGCCTACATATCTACATGATATAAATGAATATTAGACAATGATTCTCTAGTGCGTACCACTCATATGCATGGACGTGGAACGGGTTCCGTTGGCTGTTTGCCAACGTAGAGAACGCCGATCTACGTAAACGGTTGCTAATATTATGTTTGCATTAGCACAACATAACATTAGTAACCGTAGACAATAATTGCCTTACTCCTCTTTGTCCTTTGCCGCGCGCTATCGCCGTGGACTCGTAGCCATTCTCTGCTCACGCGAATCATCTTCCTGTTCTGCAGGTCGATTGCATCGTGGGCGCACGTTAGGAAACACCTCTCTACTAGAGCAATTAAACAGTACTAGATATTGTACTTTCTGATTACAACAACATAGACTAGCAATTTCGTATCGAAACGTTACTTTCTTTCGTTCAACAAGGGCTGTCTAAAGGACACTCAAAGAAGATTGCAAAAGTCGCGTACCCAGCTCCTTGCTGATCAATGGCCTGTCTTTGGGCTTCTGGACTAGACAAAAACTTGGGATACAAAGGTAAAGAAAGAGATTTGTCGCTAAGTCAGCGCAAACATAAATCAGTTCCTTACTGAGCTGAAACTTGGTCCATCACTGTGACACATGTGTCTTTTATGTTGGGGAACCTAGGCAATGAAGCGACACCTCGTGATGGCCTTGGCAGTTCCTGCTGACTACTAATCATATTTATTGCCTACCATTTCCCCTTAACGTTTTGCCCCCCACATTATTCCTGTTTAATCTCCCTAGATCGTAACTGGTTGATAGCAAAATATCGTTAAAAAGGCGGAAGTCATTTTGTAATGAACTTATTTGATTGGCAATCAAGCAGGGTACGTCCGCTAGAGATAAAAAAACCGTATTTAGAGCCGCTTCTATCCATAAATCTCTGGACTGTACAACCCTTGAAAAGCAAATATCATTCTCTATCGAATAGCGTACTGCTTAAGTATTGTACTCCACATTTGATAGACAAAATAAGCCATTACTTTCAGAGATCGTTTTTTATATCAAAAGGTTATACACATAAATATTTTTCATGAATGAATGAATATTTTGAACGAAATTGAATTTTTCAGAAAAAAAAATTTCAATTCAAATCCCCCCCTGTCTGCGAAACGGTATTTGTTTTTCATAAAAAAAAAAAAAAAAAAAAAAAAACACGTTTACATTGTGGCAACTACTTTCGCGGCTGGTTGACGTTATCGAATCCAACATGGTCTGACAGAAAGCCGGCGCCTTATGCTGCTGCTGCCTAACTCGAGTGGGCCTACAGATTTAATCCGGCCCGTGCTGCGCTGTACCTTAGTAATAAAGCAACACATGCTGCGTGCCAAAGATACAATAGTAATCTTTGCGTCCTGTTACATTCCAAATCGGGTGACAGCTGCAGTTTTCGAAATTTAATATATATAGATTAAGTCCAATAACATCTCGGACATTGTGTAAAGCTATATGTACTGAGGCTCTATATCACGCGGTACGTTAGTGGTTTGTTTCTCAAAAATATTTCTTCTGGAAGTTGTCATTCACGCTTACGTTTTCGTCGATCGTTGTTAGAATCCCCTTTAGCCAGACTATTACAAAAAACACAATAATCTCCCCATATAGAAAATTGAGATTTCTCGCGACAGTTCCTTGTTTTATAAACATTCACTTGGGTTGAGTTCGTGTAAAAAAGTGAGACAAATTCTCGATACCTTATTAATCTTAAACATTTGTTCCGAGCCATGGACCATTGTATTAACAATACAGTCTGTCCGATCGCAGAAACAGAATTTTTCTTCATTTTCATTTTTGCTTTTGTGGTTCCCCTTAGAGATACTTGCCGTCTGGTGACTATCGACGCTACAACACCCTTCTGGCAATATTCTTGCTGACGTTGGCAGAAAACAACGAATTGCTGAGCTTTGCTACAATCTTTAGAGGTAGCTGCACCCCATTACTCTTACAGCATTAGATATTTATAGAGACGTCTCGCATAATAATGACAGGTTTAAGTATACAAAGCCGCCGTTAAAGACGTACGCGAATGTCTATCATCACTAGAAATGGATCAATTCGGTAAGGATGCCACATACGCACTCTACGAAATAAAGGCAGTGAAAGTGTTCTAAAATATCGGCTACTTCTGAAACTATTATCGTGGTCAGATTTACTTAGTAGAATTCAGGATGAGATTAATTAACTCGACACACTACAATTTCGCTGTGCATGCCAACAGGGAACAAGCCGACGATTGAGGGATTATGCCACTGGGGCCGCACGATTTAACAAGTGTTTTCGGAAGGGCAACAAACGTTGTTATGATCTCAGCCGATGATTTACCAAAAAATTTGGCTTCTCGTCGAATTCTGCAAGACTTGATTGCATTGAGGCTTGCTTCAATATCTCTGACCCCATTGCCATCTGTGCGGTAGCAGTCGAAAGAACCGAGTCATGATTTTATACACATGCGTTTATATCTTTGGCTGTGTCTCCTAGGCGGGAGAGCTACCGATGTGCTAACAATAGCGTGGACGATACGTGTGGAAGATGCGTGGCTACTAGGCTGACTGTGTGCGCACTTTATGGGATTTGTGGCATTGTCTTTGGTAAGCCTCAGGAGCTGGAAGCTGTGAAGCAGTCTTGGTTTAATGTCATCCAAAGGAGAACTTCTCGATCTTCGGCCATAATTGCAAGTTCTTAAGCTGTTTCATTCAATATTTTTAGAATTACAGGTGATTTATTAAATATCTACATCATTTAATTTATTAATACTAGATGTCTCCTTTAAAATAGGCACTAAAAGAAACAGACAGGTTCTTTGTACGTGCGCGTTGCTCACCTCTTTATTCGGGGCAGTATCTGTCACACGATTTTCGCACACACAAATTTCGCAGTGTTGTTTTTCTTATAAAGTTCATTGTTTGTGGAATAACCAACGTCGCTTTATAATCCGATTGCGAAAAATGTCTTGTTTAGAGGGCTCGAGTTCCAAAATGGTACAAACCGTTCCGTTCAGTGGCCCAACGCCGTCAATGGTCAAACATATATATAGGCATATATATCAACTATATCGTAATACTCGTCTGAAGCGTCATTTGATGCTTTCTGACTGATTCTCTCTTTTAGCCTGGTGCTTCATTCTCGCAAATATATATGAAGTGTCCTGTTAATTTTATACAGATCGTCCGTAACTATCTGCTAGGCTGCAGAAATCGCCAAATCCGCTTCTCGAGTCCCATTAAATGGGGCAAACAACGCACTGCTATTTTGGCAATAGGCGAGTCTGCCATTTAATGCCTAAGGTAGGGCAACAGTCTACCTAAATAGGGTGTCACCGCTGGATACTCGCGGTCCTCAGAAACGAATCCTCAATGAGTCGATTAATGTTCTGTTCTACCTTTGGTGATCTATCTAACACCTTTGATTCACTTTGCCAGATTTGTTTTTTGCCCGTACCCTTTAAACGACAATGTTGAGCTGATACTGATACGGAATTATATCCAATAATACAAATTAGCTATTGTGAATCTTGCATTCTGTGAGCAATTAGGACGCTTTAGATTACGATGTGTGTATTCAGTTAACAGTAGCGACCAGAATCTTACTTGCGATACTTTACGTGAAACGTTCCTTAACCCCTGCATGTACGTTTGTTTCTAAGCAAACAGATAACTATGCTACATATCGACGTACAATGCTTTCTGAATTACTTAGGTGCCATATAAAGTTGAAAGTTTCAGATAATCGCAGACGCTTGACCGGGACGCAGATTGAAATGAGCTTACATAAAGGCAAAAGGAAACCTGGCCTTGAAAAAGAGTCCAAAGTAATATATTATATCCTGCAAGACTGGCTAAACCCATATTGCGTTCACATTTCTTTCCCCAAGAAGGCACTCCACTTCTTCGGCCCTTTGTTTAATGTGACACGAAACGTAAAAATGAAATTTGACAAATGGGGACAGGTAAGGCCGACTGAGAACAACAGCTAAGCTCAACGCAAGCCCACGAAGGTATTAAATAAAGCTTTCGATTGCATGTGTACTTTCTTTGGCTGATATTTGTTCAGATAACGGGATCACTCGTTGCAAAGCAAACGTCCTCCATCTCTCCTAAACTATCAATATTGAAGTTGTCACTGGCTCTAGTTTTTGTGTTTCCAGTCCTTAACCTTTTGGCAACTTTGTGCATAAAAACTTAAAAAAAAATAACTGATCTCAATCCAGAGGAAGCTTCCACAGCAATCAAAGGCGGATTCAAAGCGCTAGCCATACGACGTACACCCGTGCGAGTGGCAAAAAGACTGACAAATCTAAAGCGATCTGTATAAATTACAACGCATTGATTCGCCTTAAGTTTTTTCCCATGCGAAAAATACTTATTTCACTTCAAGATCGAGATAAAAGCCTCTACTAATTGAGACACAAGCATATTTACTAAACAAAACGCCTCGCGAAGTGGGTGGTCGCACGAAATATAAATCAACCTGGGGTTTTGGTGTAAACAGCATAATTTGTAGCGCTGAATTGGCATCCGTTATAGCCCACATACGTTAGAGTACACTTTAATATCATGGCATTCGAATATCTTAGTTAAATCCGCGCTCTTATTTTGCAATAACTAGTAATAGATATGAAGGTGAGATTCTGCGATTATATATATATATACAATTGAGAAGGTAAACAATAAACAACTTATTCGAATGCATTTAGGGAATAAAAGCTCTAACGGCTAGCCTGTACACTGTGAGTCTTCAACCGATGGCCTGACCCTGGTTGTAGCGACAAAGGCCGCGCCTTGGTCGACCTAACCTATCGAAGCGATCGAACAAGGAGACCGAGCTGTTTAAACGCATGGCTGGAAACGCGGAAACCATTAGTCAGATCGCCGCAAGAAGCACGTTAGTTAGGTCCCACCTCTCCACAGGATGCAGCCGTTAGTACTGATAACGGAGTCAGCCCATGGTCCACATGATCGGCGGCGCTGAATACAAAAGACGGACGAGAAGGCTTGGCCACAAAGGACTACTGTTGTTAGAAGAAGGCTTGACCGACAATTGAGGTAAGACGTATTCGGTGAAAGCGGTCACGTCATACGAAGTCGCTAGATTTGGGCCGTAAAGGCTCTACGGATGGAAGGCGCGGGAAACGTTGGACGACGACGACGACAAATGGAAGTGCAAAAGCGTCAAGATTGTTGTACTTGATAAAAAGGTGGCCGGCCGGGAAACGTTGCAACAAGGACGTGAGATGGCGCAGCGTGGAAGGCGCAGCCGCAAGGGGAAAACGCGAACCCAGCGAGTGTTGTGGCGGAGAGTGCAAACAATAAACGGACGCTAGTTTGGTTAGGATATAAAATCGCCGGTGACTAACCTATATAATGTCTGTTTCCTGCCGGTTGCCCAGGTCTGCGTAATATATATATATATATATATATATATATATATATATATATATAGCATTATTCAAGCAAAGAGGGGTATATCAAATGACTCTCGATTACAGTAACTGTTAAGCCCATGATCAGTTTTTGTCATACAACTTAATCATACAATTACAGCTTAGGGCTCTTTCTACATGCCGTGGGAATGATCGCATTTCAAACAGATTTTTAGAAGACAGTCGAGCACCTTATATTTTGTGTATGAATGGAGCACTTAGAGACTAGAATCCTTAGTCCGTATGAGATAAAATGATATGTTTATCACCACATATTGGCCCCCACGAGTTCCCCTTCAAGTGTACGAAACCTAACTGAATTGAAATCAGAGTTACCTCGTCGCTTTACACAAGAGTTATAGCTCCTAAACTCTTTGCAGACATGTATAATGTTACACTCGAATGGGGCTGCAGCAGCATAAACAGGGTTTAGAAAATCATCTACTTTTTGTATTTGATCTTCATTTTTTGCTCGGTGGTGCCTGCATACGATTAAAAGCAACTCCGTAGACATCGGTTTTAAGTTTAAGGTTGTTTGCTAGGATACAATATTATTCCACGTAAACTCATTATATATATATTTAATTGAACATCAGCTTGTATATAAGTCCAAAACTGTTTTTTGGTTAAATTCGTGATTAGGGTACATAGTATGTAGTGAGTGCGATTTCGAAAGATACCGGCATGTTATATAGGCCCTTCCCAATAGAACTGTTAAAAATGATTTGCACGCCGAATTTCCATGCATACTACTATTAGCCTATCTGATCATTAGTTTTCAACTGCACGTGACCAAGTGAAACAGCCAAGAAATAACGGTCCTGTTTAGCCGAACGCTTTGGAAGAACCAGCATTAGCGCAGAATCTATAAATACAAACAAATATCGTCTAGTAACTTCGAGGCAAAAAAAGCCGATAATTCGCCTGCTGACTAGACGAGCACCTGTACAGCTGAAGCTTGAACAGGTGCGTCGATATCCATCAAACACTAAAGAGAGTTACAACATAGATAGCTTCTGCTGAAAGGAAAAGTAGACTTTGGCAATCTGACAAAGTTTAAGAAAAAATTGCTGATTTTTGAAATATCGTAGCGATAATCGTTAACAAGGTTGGAGAGAGCTCGGGACATCTTGAAGCTTCCTCCATGCGTATTCTACTTTCTTCTACCCCTATGGGTTTTTCACGGCGCGCCTAGAATCACTAGATGGGTGAGTACAAATCGAGAGAACAAAAAAAAGGATGCGATGGTTAGGCTGTTGGAACTTTAACTCCACATGGCATATCATTCGTAACCACTTCGAGAAAAGTAGGAAAGTTCCCAAAAGTTGAATATGGTGGTAAGCAAAATTAATTGGTTCTTTGAAAATATTTATAGCTAAACCTTTCTCTAAATGTTTCTTTTCGTTCAGAATTCGTATGCCAGCATAATACCGAGGATTCCTGAACTTCTACTTAGCAAGGACGCCGAAGTCGATTCACAAACTGTTGAAGTCTTCTCGTATACATTGCATTCACCTATCTCCGACTATGACTACAATTTATCCTTTATAATTCGTAATTTTCGCAGTCTAAATCGATTCACAGGTTTCGGGCTTCCTAGTCAAGTCGATTTTACGACTATCACTCTACGTCGATTGAAACGCGAAGTTGCTGTCCGGTAGCACCGATAGGTTTGATCACGCTCATGCCGGCTGTATATCTTGGAGGATCTCTTTCGTTCATGTATCAGGCATGAAGGTCATTTCAGGGGGGCCTTGTCCTATACTCGTTCTATACTGGGAGATGACCTTCTGAATGCCAACCTAGATTCACCTACCTAAGTCTGTGTTTGTGTATGTATGCCTGTTAATCAGTTGAGGAGTACTTTATAAGCCGAGTAACGTGGGCTGTATGTGCATGACAGTCTGAAAACTAGCTATACGCTAAATGCCCCAATGCAAACTGGATTTTGGTCCCCGTGGTGGCTCAACGCGGCTGAAGGCTAGCGGCTATTGCTGGTGGTTGACTAAAAGGAATCTGCACAAGTTCACTAGTTAATATTGATTAACCACATATATGTCGGTTGTGTTATGTTGTAGGTTACATTAAGGATCCTTTTATCTGCAGGTGGGCAGCTTTTATCACATGTTTTAGCGTACACGATGTTCCTGGAACAAGATAGCTAAAGCGTTTTGTGCATGTACTATACTTGCATTGTATGTACATACAGTGATATATTCAGACTTCAGTCTGGAACTTGCCTAGTCGTCCTCCTACGCCGCTAGCCTACCAAGGCCCACGTCTCTCTTTGTAGTTGAACATTGCTGTAGAGTCAGACCTACATATATGAGACATCAGGGCGACGCCCCCCGAATCGAAACCCTTATGACATTGATACAGACAGAGGGCGCAAGGAGAGTGAGGGGTAGGGACCCAGTCGCAGAGAAGTCGCAGACGAGAAGGCGGACTAAGATCACTGAGTTCGAAAATCAATTATAATAAATGATTGCAGGAGATTGAATTTTATCATTTAAGATAAACTGCCATTAAGACTCGCTATGAATTCTATGTCACAGGCTGTATATATGCACACTGAGGTCTGATTCAGTGAAGCGAAGCTGTATAACAGAACAGAGAAAAAATCAACCGTAGCATTAAACATGTGCATGGCTGGCTTTTAGACGTAATACACACATGCCTAGTGATGTACACAGCATGCAACGTTCCTGCAAAGTTCAAAATTGTGTCCTAACGATCGCTCTACCCGGAGGTATTTTTTTTTTTTTTTTTAACTAGATACCTGCTCCCGTTCTTTAGTAGGTAGGAATTTCCCTTTCGTTATTTGGGAAACCCAGTGGGAAAGCCATTATATATTGGAGCGCACCAGGGCCTACTTGGCGCTCATCTCAAGCTTATCTCACAAAATAACGCAGCTCATGGTGCAATAGGATATGGTCTTATTACTATCGAGTCTTTGTTGTTACTTCTTTTTTTCAAAAAATGTTGTAGGTTCTGTAGAGATAATAAAGACGACTTATCAGAACGAACTGATCTGCCTAATAAAGCTATTCATATATCTTATTCTTGAAATTTAAATAGGGTAAATAAGCGGATATGAGCATGCAATTTAGACATCGTCCTATGATAGGAACATGGTAAATCGAAGCAGGATGGTAACTGTTAATCTAGGTCCGAGCAAAGGATTATTTTAATGCAATAAAATATAAAGATTGTATTATACGGACTTCTTTGTACGACTTAATCATACGTTTCATAAAGGCACAGAGTACACCCTATCGCGATTCATTTCGTTCAGCTGAATACTGCTGTCATGTTATAAAGAATAGGCCATGCTAACCTTTTGAGCCTTGAGCGAGAGGCTTTACAGTAAAACGTGTGTCAGAAGCTGCACAAGGTCGCCACCTACTAGTATATGTATTTTATATATACATAACAAACCATAGAGAGAGAGAGAGAGAGAGAGAGAGAGAGAGAGAGAGAGAGAGAGGACATGTTATACGAGGAGAGTCTTTCCACAGCAGCACAATTTCGAAGACTCTAGTTGCTTCATTAGTTTTCGTTGAACGCCCCTAAATAAATCATATCGGGAACGGATTAATGACGTGACATGAAAAAAGTATTGGGGGTTGTGAACGCGGAATTCTCAGGCGAAAGAGAGCGCTTTGTGATATGGGAGCCTGAGTCGATCGGTTCGAATCGTTTTCGATTCCTTTCTGTAGTAGCTTAAAGCAGCAACGACGATGGCACTGGGGGTGATCGCCGACGCGTCATTAATTGTTTGCCCATAATTCCTGCAGCGGGGCTCAGTCGGTGAGCTTACGGCTGCGGTTTTTACGATAGCCACATAAAAAGAAGAAGGAGCGCCACCGTAAAATAGTACAAGGTGCTTTCACGTTTTATTTCCGTCTATTCTTAAATTCGGCGGGCTATCTAGTTAGTTTGTCTTCTAGGGTACCGTTAGAAATATAGATATAATTAGAAGAAACGCTAGAAAAAAACGTACCGTGATGATATGTTAATGTAACGTGTATGTATACATATTATTACCTGAGATATTTACTTATTTCAACAATTTCTGCTAACTATATTTAAAACGTCAGTGAGCCCTATTAGCCATGCGGGTGGAAATTGCAGATAAGATAGCCGTTCGATTATTGCTTATATGACCGAAAAGTGTATCCGAGGATTTTTAGACGCACATGGCAACCGCTAGGCTTTTAATACCATTTTAAAAAATAGTACTTATCATCATTTCAACATTAATGGTGTTTCATCTTTCTATATATATATATATATATATATATATATATATATATATATATATATATATTCAATAGGACATGAAGACTACTGACAGGATCGGAAGCACTTTTATCCCTTTTGTCCTTTTCGAAGGAATTGCTTTTTTACGCATTTTGGACGTTAGTCAAGCAGAAGGCTACTTCGACTATTCCACCCTAAGTGTTTCAAAGATCACGGCCGTTTACTGGGCAGATAACGTCATCAGTCGATAAAAGAAACAGGTTGGATTACGACACCTTCGTTGATGCTCACCGTGGCTAAGCGTTGCAGACAACGTTCTCTGAACTGGCATCCATGTTCCCACCCATTACAATCTGGATCCATTTGTGAAATCGAAATGAAAGCGAAGTCTTCACCTATGACTACATATTATGGAAGTTCTTATAACATACCGAAATCGCTACTTCACGCTATAGAGAAGTTATGGAGAAAATACCTTCAGTTTCTTTACCGCAGATCTTACAGCAAGCCTCTTTTTTATCAACTAAGTAAATCCAGACGCAGCTCTTTTGAATCAGCAGATTTTCTCGAATAAACTTGGTTTAAAATATTTTATTGACATCAACGGTGAAGCTTCTACAAGTCGATTTCTAAGCTTCAGATAAAATGTG